CATATTGAGATGAAAGGATGGCGCTTGGTTACCAAACTGCATCCATTACTTTGCAGGTAACAAATTACTAGAATTGACCTCAACCAAAATTAAATCACAAACCTCTCAGATGGTCCAAACAGTAAACCAGATTATTTGTCAGAGGTTTCCATTAAACTGCTCCAAAGGGCACCAACAACACAAACATGGCAGAGGAGAGCTGAAGCCTGGCAGAAACAGCCCCTCTCAATTAAAAACACAAACTTTGCTTTTGGCTACAAACGGTGGACATTTTAACAGTTTATGTTTTATGGTGACTAACTCACTTTTGGAGCCAGCTTCAAAGGACAATTACAGGTACCTACGTTTTCGGCACGATCACCTTAGCCTCTTTTTTCAGCCCTTGAGGTTTCACACGTTTACTTCTCATTGACATTTAAGCATTGCATCTTGGGAGTGTTGAGCTGTGCGATGCGATGAAAACTACTTTTTAAACTTTAAATCTGTACATCTGAAATGTTTTTCATGCCAGATGAAAGACGACCAGCGTGAACAAATTGTGGTGACATTGTTGGCTGTGTCTGCAAAATGATGGTCCTATTTCTCTCAGCGGTTCAAAGCTGGATGGTATAAAAATCTTTCAATCCAAGATGGACAGACATATTTCAGGAATGCTGTCCTAATGTCTACTAATCAGGCAAACTTTCATATGGTGCAGCTAGTTTTGACCGCCTGGAGCACGTGGCGACATGGCCCTTGAAAGATTTCCCAAAATTCAGCGAATGATCAGGAAACAAATGAAGCAGCCACGTTACCAATGCTGCAGTTTCTCTATGGCAGAGATTAAAGTGGGGCACTTTTGCCTTTACAAATTTTGCTACTGAGGCTCAAAGCTGGTTACAGATAGAAGGCGACACTTGATATAAATATGGTGTTCAGTCCTGAAATTTTCATGTTGCCATGTCCTGAACTGCAGAAGTCTGGGAGGCTCAAAAATGCTGGAAAAATAACAAATTAAAATCCCCCTTTCCCCCTTCGTCGCACTTTTTAAAGTTTCATAACTGCTCAGTGAAACGTTGTTGGTGTTTGCTAACAAGTCAGCCACTCTAGGTCTACACGACTGAGGCCTAGCTGAAACTCGTGATCACAAAATGACTTAAATAAAATTAAAATGAGCAGGAAATGTTTTTAGGTTTCAGTCTCTGCCGATTTCATCTCAACCTGACCTACAGTTATTAATGCTGTCTTATAACTGTAAGCTCTCAAAAAGTTCTGTATTTGTGTTTTACCATCATCCATGATTTCTGAAAAATATGCCCCTGGGAAAAAAAACATTAATATAATTAGGAAAAATAACACTGACATTAAAAGTGATGACTAATAAAATAAGAGTAAAACACTTCAAGACAAAAAATAATGTCAGCTGGTTCTAAACTGCGCGTGGGTGTGACTAGGGATGGGTATCGTTTAGGTTTTATCCGATACCGGTGCCAAACCGGTACTTTTGAAACGGTGCCGGTGCTTAAACGGTGCTCAAACCGGTGCTTAAAGAATGGAGAACACAAAATTGGTCCAAAAACC